CAGTTTTAGGAAGAAATCTATCATCATGTGTAATTTATTCCTATTTCAGCGGTCTTGCTTATTCACTGTGAGTGATGTGTGTTTCTGGACTACATGGAAAGTTACGTGGTGCATCAGCAGCCCCCTTTGTGCCCGATACAGACTTAGAGCATCCTCGTGTACACAGAGAGTTTCAGCTGCGCAGCCAAGGGGCCCGCCGTGCATAAGCAGCGCCCCGCGCGTGGAGCATGGCGTAGGGCCTAGGTTGCGGGGGCGTTTTGTATTCTGTCACTGGATGACACTTTGGACCTGTCTGCGCTCTTGTAGTAGGAGTGTCCTTGTGAAATCACAGAAAAGAACAGCCGCAAAACCAAAACAGGAAGAAAACCAAGGGGATCGTGATGATCCCCTTTCCCATTACCTCTGTGGACTGGGTTGACCTGGGGTCTGGGTAAAACGTTCTCTTTTTTCTTTTTTTACCCAAAACCACCCCGGCGGGGTGCCTCATTTTACAGAGGAGCGAGCTTGAAAATTTGGGTACTCTCATGTTATAGGCCTTTTGGTGTAAGCCACCCATTTTACAGTAGCCTGTGGGGCCCGGGACCTTTCATTTTACAGGCCTCCAGGGTGGCGGGTACCAACATTTTACAGTAGCCTGTGGGGATCATCCGATCTCGGAACCCCCCATTTTACAGACCCTCCAGAGGCGGGTACCCCCATTTCACGGTAGCCATGTTCTTGCACTGTTTCAAGCATGCACGTGATGCAGATTGATGCAGCATTTTGTCTCACATTGGGCTTGCTGGTGATTAGTGGGGAAGGAGGAAATATCTTCTACGTACTATAGCCATTCATGGTCTAAACTCCTTGCAAGGGGTTATATGAAGCATTCTATAAGGTATAGGGGTTATTCAGGGGGGCACGGGACACAGGCACCTATACGACAGCCACAAGATAGCGCATTGCGGAATGTTGCTGTAACATTTATCATCAACCACCCACTCGAGCAACCTTCCTCCAGCCCCACCCCACAGGCCCAATCCCTTGATTCCAGACCCTTCAGGATTTAAGGGTGACCTTGTGGTACCCCGGTGCCGGCCCTAACAATGACCCCTAAGCATAATTTTGACCGCGAGACCAAGTTCATCCCTACCCCCGAACACACGCTTGATCTATATCACTGTTGTGCAGAGCTCAAACATATCAAAATACATATTAATTCAAACTCCTACTTGGTTCCCCTGCGACTGCCTCCACTCACCTATTTGGGCACTCTTGGTTGTTCCGGCTTCATTCGAAGCCAGAAGATGCCAACAGTGGCGGTGTTGGCACCCATCTAGCCTAGACTTAAATCAGAATGCCAGGGATAAAAGGTTTTGGCGCTCCCCTGAGCAGGGTCGGTACCCTGGGGCCGGGCTTTTCTACAGGCCGAATCGTATGTTTTCTGAGAAAAACGTACAATTCGACCGCGTGCCTTATATGCCCAGCAAGTCTGCACGGACCTACCGCCGCGGGGTGTGCGCCAATGCAGGATGTTTAGTATCAACAGTATGTAGTTGCATGTGTTTGCAGTGCAGTGCCCACGCAGCTGTGGTTCCCCCAAAGTTCTTCAAACCCTGGGCACCCCCATTTTACAGCACGTTTTGTCTGTAAAAAAGGGGTGCCCAGGGGTCGCCATGAATACCAAGCAGGGACTCACAACCCAAAGGTTCTCTAAAAATGCCCCTGGGACGCTCAGAGATTTCTAAATCCCGGGTACCCCCATTTTATAAGACCTTTCTGCCTGGTTTCACCGTTTTGCCCAGTGCAATGGGGGGTTCCCAGCGGCCCCCCTGAATACAAAGGGGGATTCGTGATGCAAGCTCAGCGCTGCAAGGGAACGACGTGACCTGGGGATTGCGTTCAAAGGGCATTTCGTACTCTACCACCACTAGACAGTGCTTGGGATGGCCCTGGGCCCCTATAGACCGAAAGCACCCTTTGTTTGAGCATGGATAATAGCAGCCACAACGCCAAAATAGGAAGAAAAACAGGGGGCCGTGTTGCAAGCGCAGCGCTGCAAGGGAACGATGATCAGTGCTTGGGATCGCTCTGGGCCCCAAAAGGCCGAGAGCATCCCTTGTGTAAGCATGGATAATTGCAGCCGCAACACCAAAATGGGAAGAGAAACCGGGGGACCGTGTTGCAAGCGCAGCACTGCAGGGGAACGACATGACCTGGGGCATGCGTTCAGGGACATTTCGGACCCTACCACAACAAATCGCTGCTGCTATCTACTGGAAAATCGCATTCGTATGCAGCCTGTATTCGGACGGGGGGGGGGGCGCCATCCATTTGAAAACTTGGACATAGGAATTATTCCCATTATCCCCCCTCCCCATCCGGCCCTTGTAGGGGGGGGGGAATCCTGAACACCAAACATTCTGTCGGGAAAAATGGGCTTCGTCATCACATGTTTTTTTTTTGGATGGATTGGTAGCTTTCCTTGGCCAAGCCGCCCCATAAACGCACAAATTTGGATATTTTGTCCTCGTACCGTTTCACTGCCGACGATCCCGAGGTCCAGGTGCAATGGCGCAGCGCGTCTTCGACTGCTGCCGAAATGCGGCCCAATCCCGGTGGGCATGTGACTCGCAGCCGGCCCCTCCTGCCAACGGACATGCGCCAGGAGTTCGTGCAAAGCCTGCCCAAGTCCGCCAGCACTGTCATGAAATGTCATGAATTTCGCCGCGCAGCTCGAGGCGCGATGTGGCACGCGCGTGCTGTGCTGCCCCACGGAAATTGCAGGCGGCATCCGGCATGTAATATGTTCATCATTGTTCATCTGGGGACGTAACTATAACATGCCCCGTCCCCGGACGCACGGACGCAACCCGGCTTCGTAGTTGTCACCGCAAAAACTGTCAGTTGACCCTTTCCCCGTCACTGTTCCGGATAGTCCTGCGGTGCCGGTTGCGACGACCCCTGCCCGTCGCTCCACGCGCAGGCGCTTTTCGAGGAATCCTGGACCTGTTGGCCGTTGCGCTACATGCGCCAACTTGGGAGTGCTTGCCTCGCGGGCGCTACCTCTAGCGCGAGCTGTCGTGTGTGATTCCCCAAAGAAGCCAGGGCTCGCATCGCTCGCAATGTACGTTCCGCGGACATGAACATCGATGTTGCGGTGATCGACGACCGCCGCATCCAAGTACCATTGCCAGCCCGGTCACCCGCTCTAGCAAGGCATAGCCTGGGGCCAACGTCCAGCCCGGCTGGGCGCTCCTTGGGGGCAGCCCGCCGCAATCGGCGCCAAACGCACCCCGAGTCTTTGGCGCTTGGTGGTTATGGGTCGCGCGGCTGCTTGGGTTTTTAGCAGTTGCAGCGCGCTGCGTCTTCGCGGCCTTGCTGTTGGAACTCCCGTTGCCGGGGAGTGCGACGTTGCAAGGGAAGAAGCCGAGCTGCACGAAGTCTTGGCCGACTTGCGCTGGCAGCTCCCCGTCCCCACTAGCCGACAAGGCCCCCACCGACGCCATTGCGCAACCCGTCTTGTCAGCACAGGGACCGCACCAGGAGATCGGAAAACATTGCACGCAAAAAAAAAAACACAGGAAACAAACAGAAACCTTCAAGATCATGTTGCGCCTGCTTGTCGTTCTGGTTATTGTGCTGCCCACTGTCGTCAGCCGTGTTGTCGGTCTCGTGAAGGTGTGCGCCCACCTGGTAGCCCCATGCCGCGTTACTTGCAAGATGTGTGCGCGGCTCTGCCCCATCAGCAGTTCCTCCCGTCAGTTTGCGCGGGTCGGCAGAGGCCTTGCTAGCAGCTGGGCAGCTATGCAAGGAAACGCCAGCGGCCCGCGTCGTCATCACCAGCGACGAGGGCCGACCCGCCTAAGTATTTGCCAGCTTAATGATAGGGGACGGACACCCCAAAATAAAATCTAAGGCCTTGAGGCTGAAATTTTATTTTTAGTTATTCCTCCTCCAGGATTTTATTTTCGGGCATTTGTGGCTGCTTCCAGGATTTTATTTCGTGCATGTTGTTGGGGCGGATGGAAGTTGAACCTCAAAAAATATATGACGGTAGATGATGCATTTGGGGGTTGTGCCCCCAGGATTTTCGGCGCGCCGTGGGTTGGTCTGCTCATGATTGTTCCTAAGATATATAAGACTCTTTCATGTCTTTCGGCTATCTGGGCAATGGCAGACTACTGGCTGGATGAGTGTGTCATATTTAGTGCATGCCGCAGAAGGAGGCCATGAGGTCCAAATATGTAGTCGTTCTAATATATATATATATATATATACATTGATTGAGAAATCATTGTGAGTCCAGGGTCCCCAAAAGGTACAGAATGCATCATGGAGCCACGTAGCTATCATGGATAGTAGGTCGTCAGAAAAAATTGCAGTCAGATCAAATCAGAGGCATTTGTAGTAGCCATGTCCGACACGGAGTCTGATGTGCCTGGGCCAAGCTGCTCGTGGGAATACTTTCTGGAACAGAGCATCATACCGGAGAACGTGCGGCAAGCGCTGGCGCACGGGCAGGATGGGCCATGTGTTTGCGGCAAGGATCACTGTTGGTGCGCCCAGCTCCGTTCCGTGGATGCGCATAGCAGCGTGCCATTGACTATCCTGAGATGCCGCCGCAAGGGCTATGGATTATTTTCCGCGAAATCCATCAAAGCAGGCAGGTTTTTTTTTTTTTTTTTTTTTATTGCCATGATTATTCTAGAAAAATATTGAAGAGATTTAGTGGAAGGCTTCCGCATAGGCGATAAATCCTGCCAGGTGTCTTCATCACTGAGTTCACGGGCAAAATTGTTCAGATTGGTGATGGCAAGCTGGGACATTATGCCATTCGGTTGCAATGCGCCGGCGGACTTGCGCTTGACGCAGGCATGGGGGCAAAATCAGTCTAGAACCCAGAATCCCCGCTAGGACCTCTGGTGTAGGATGGGATGGGTTTGGCTCAAGGGTTCCCAGACAGTCCACTCTTCAGGGTTCGAATGCACTCTGGCGCTCCCGCTAGGAACTTATGGTGGAAGGGCCCGCTACTTGAATCACGCGTGCAAGCCCACCACGAGTGGCAGAAGAATTGTATCTGAATGTGCATGAGTGACCCTGGCTCAAGCTGTAGCACAAGCAAGCCATGGCACGCGCACGTATTGACATTGACAAGTTCCTGACAAGCACAGCGTCAGGCAAGTCTTCAGCCGGCATTCCACGGGTAAAGGCCTTGTGGAAAAAGCTTCGCAAAATCGGTGCTGGCTCGGCCGCAACCGTGAACCAAATTGGTGCCGTTATCGGTAAGGATGGTTGCCTGCAAGCAGCGAAGGAAGTGCTGCCTTACGTCGATGCTCAACCCCAAGATCAGGCGTATGTCCTCAACCAAGAGCGGCTCGAGAAATTTATGATTCGGGCGGGAGAATGGGGTGATACCTACAACCTCACGCTGCCGGATGTCAACACTCAGAGTACCGCAGCTCTCTTCAATGAGAGCATCGGGCTGAGTCTTGAGGCGACGGTGCTGTTGTGGGCGCTGCACGGCCTGCCAGGCCCTGATGGTAAGCCAACTTCCGCAGAAGGTTCAGCTGCGGCTGTTAGCGAATCGGACTCCAATGATGAACAGGAACAGGAGCAAGAGCGATCCAAGCACCGCAAGCCGCAGCAGCCACCACCTCAGGAGGCTATTCAAGACGCAGCCCCTGAAATCCCCCGTCGCAAGCGCAGGAAGCATGCTGCAAGGGGCCGCGAACGTGAGGGGGCGCCTGCTCTTGAGGTCATTATTGACACAGGAGCTGGGATCGGCGACGATGGTGTTGGACACGACGTTGCCGCCGAAGACAACCAGGCGGCTGCTGCTGTAGCGGCAGCGAAGGCTGAGCCACCTGTCAAGGCGGCGCCCATGCCCTCTACAGTACTTGTAACAGAGATTGC